AATTAGAACATAACTACCATGTTTCCCCAAAAATAAGACCCTTACCTGATTTCCAGCTTTGTCTCCTTAACTCTAATCAGAGGAAATGGTGAGGACTGGCTGCACATGCGTTTAAATATTTTCAGGCAAGGCTTATTTGGGGGGGGCTTATTTTAGTGCATGCGCTCAAAAGCTCGATTGGGCTTATTATTCAGGGAGGTCTTATTTTCAGGGAAACACAGTATGAATACTCTATCTTTATTGTACGGTTACATTAACAGAACCTTGCAAAACAAGATTTTCTCCATTGTCTCCTTTTATTCTCTGGAAAACTAGGGAAGGTCCCTTCTGAAATGCTTCCCATGCCTCCTCTTCTGTGAGCTGAGACATCTTTACATGCCAGTTGTCCAGTTTGTGGCTCTTCCTCCTGTCTCCCAAGATCATTCTCACACACTCTTTCAACCACTGCAGCCCTACTGAAAAAGTTTCCAGAGTTCTCCATGTAAATTTTTCAAATTGGTATACAGGATACAGTGCAGGAAACAGGACTAAAAAGGCCACACTTCTCAGAAGGATTTGCCAAAGTGGAAAAAATAGAGAAAATGCAAGATTACAACTTCTTTCATTGCAGTATCACAGATAGTCAAGAAGTGAAGTACAGTTCATGGGAGCAACTGGCAAACCCGATATACCACACTGTGAAAACATACATAAAGAATGTCTAGGGTAAATCTTTTCACACACATATCAAATAGATAACTTATCTTAAATATTCTTTTAACATACCAAATAAATGGTTGCACAATTAATCCCTTTTTCCTCTATTCAATCATGTCCAATTCTTGGAGATTGCCTGTACAATCTTGGAGATTGCCTGCAGTTTTCTTGGCAATGTTTTTCAGAAGTGGTTTGCCATTGCCTCCTTCCTAGGGCTGAGTGAGAGGGACTAACCGAAAGTCACCAGGTTGGTTTTGTGCCTAAGTCAGTACTAAAACTCATAGTTTCCCAGTTTCTAGTGGATGCTTTAACCACTACACCAAACTGTCTCTCTAGATTCTACATTTAATTATAATCCATGATAACTAGAAGGTCACTGAATATTAATGCAGAAACTAATCAGCAACAACTTACAAGTCATCACTGTCTGGGCTCACACAATAATCTAAATCAGCAAACAAGATTATGACTTCATACAATGTGGGAATCTGGTCCATATACATACATTAGAATACTTAACTTTGTTCTCCAGTTGTAATAGTTTCACAACAAGGCTCTTACTGTTTTTCCTCTTGGCTACGCTCCATTCTTCACCAACCTATTGCCCTACTATGGAAAGGATTCCAACATGCTACAATGTCCTTTCTAATTCTTAATTTTTTAAAAAAATCAGTACAACTTCTTAGCAAGATTCCTAAAGGAAGGGCTGCACAAGGTATATGAATCTGGTCCATATACATACTTTAGAGGGATTAATCTTAAAAATTTATTATGTAGCATATTATTATGTAATATCTCTGAAATATCAAATCCTGTGGAAATTCAGAATTCAGTGATATTTACTAAATATGACTTACACTTTGTCAGTGATTTTTTTTTTTTTGCTTTAATTTATATGCCGCCCTTCTCCGGAGACTCAGGACGGCTTACAATGCGTTAAGCAATAGATTGAAGAGTTTCCTTAGAAGACTCTTACTCTTATTTTTTAGCACTGATGATGTTACCTATTTTGGGTAATGAAACAGCTTCAAGAAAACAACCAAGCTCAGAGAGCACCAAGGACCATTCTTACTCTTGCTTTGAGTCCCATTCTTAAAACTCCTCTACTTAAAGAACTATAACCTTTCTCTGTTCTTAAGGAATTTAAAGTTAAAACTACAGCCACTCAACTGGAAAATGCAGTTAATTGTAAAAGTGAAACCAAGTGGCTGTTCAGGCACGTTTTATAGAAAAAACAGCTTTGCGATTCATCTCCTTGGATGATAAAAAAAAATTATAACCCAGTGAGAGTGGCAAACCAGCTTTACAGGTATCACCCACCACACAAACACATATTGCTAAAGTGAAAGATGTTTCAAAGGCTATTTCAGAAGCATGCAGAGACACAAAGATTTCACACATACTATCAAATCATCAGGTTAGGATGGCAAGATGTATTAGTTTCAGGCATCCACAGAAAACTGTTTCACTATCCACTGACTCATTCAAAGAGGGACAGAATCTCACTATTCTTAATGATTCCCCAAAACAAACCCCAAAGTTTGGCTTATTTTGATTCTCATGCAAAATAATGGATACAACAGATGGAAGTAAGGATTAAAATCTATGTTGATTTAGAGCTCCTGATTCTTGCAACATGATTAGATGTTATACACTGAACTTTATTAAAAATATTTTTCTGGAGGGAAAAATGCAACAATCCAAACCATTTCAATGACACCAAAACTGAAGAAATTTTATTCTCCCTAAAACAAATTTTATTATTACTTTAATAGCCACATATAGTAGAAAAAACTTTTTATTTTTTTGAAAAAAATCAGGAAACAAACATTCTCTTTACAGACATCAAGCCAGCTTCCCTTTTTAACAGGACAATACCGAAATGAATAATTCCTTGAATTTAAGTTTCTTTTAAACTGCAGCATAAACAGAAGGTAGATTGGGATCTACTCATAATTTTTTGAGCAATTTGCAGTAGGTGAGCAATGATTTCTGGCTCTTGTTTACTAAGCAAAGAAAATAATAAACTATTACTTATCCCCATAAATTTTACATCAACTAATCAAATTTTATGTTAAAGGAAAAGATTGAGAAGTCTGTCCAGTGCTGAAAATTAAAACAAAATATACGGTTATATTAATTTATAACAGGTTCTAGTTGGTAAATATTAGTGTTATATGAAATACAACATAAGTTATATCCCGTAAACTTTTAAGTCTGTTAGTGCTTGCATTAGGATATGAAGCCAAAATTTAAGTTCTTAATTCTCTTGTCAGCAACTTCAGGAATCTGATAATTCAATACAATTACAGTTCCTTTTGATCCCACAGAGGCTGTTATGGCATTATTCAAAATTCCTTAGCCAACATTTTCCCTTTGTTTCTCTACTAGGAAAAGAAGCATTGTCCTTCTCTCCTAAATATAATAAAAGGTCACAGAACACCATTACACCATTTCCTGGTTGTGCTGTGAAACTGCTTCAAAACATTGCAGGGGGAAAATTCAACTAAGCAGACCCTTTGACTCTTCTCCAACACAAACCTTTGGAGTTTGCAAACACAGTTCTTAAAAGCATACAATGCTGTCTTTACCTTTTTCCAGAAAGTTGCCACTCACCTTCTGTTAATCCAGAATGGCATATATTTCCCAAAAGTTATCAACATGTTTATTTCAGGGAATATTTTTGTGACCTGAATACTTCTGAGTTTTAGCTTTGTGCGCTAGATTTCCTACTTACCATTTAAATCCAGATATGTATTTGAAATCCTAACCCTCGAGATTCAAATATCAATACAGACCCACTAATAGATTTTTTTTATTACAATATTTTGGTAAACTCAGAAACAGATTTGAAGAACAGATTGCTTTGACAGCAACAAGATGTTGTGGTCACTGATTCTTATGTCACTGACAGCATGTGTGAAAAGCAGCTGTCTTCCTAGTTCAGGACTGTATCAGAAGTAAGAAGGCACACATGATGAATTCAAGTACTTCTTGAATTCACACCCATGTACAGTCTACAATCACCCCCACCATCACTCCACCAAATTATTCTTCACATAAATAGAGATTGTTTAGGATCAGCAAGCTTCCCATACAAGACTCAATCCAAACAAATAAGCACAAAACTCCAAAATTGCTCCTAGCTGTGATGGACAGTCAGAGCAATCATTCAACATCATTTTCTTATTTGACACCAGAACAGGTAATACTTGAAGCCTGAGCCAATGCTATTAATTGTCATTACAACAGGATAAAAAGAGTCCTATTGAATCAGACTAAGCCTACGGCACCAAAAAACACTCATTCTAGTACCGTGTTTCTCTGAAAATAAAACCCTGTCTTATATTTTTTTGAACCCTGAAATAAGCGCTTGGCCTTACTGCCGTGCACTCTAAAGCCCGATTGGGCTTATTATCAAGGGATGTCTTATTTGGGGGGAAACAGGGTAGCAACTAGAAGCCAGTTGGAAATCAAGAAGTAGAACCTGAGAATAGCTGCCCACTGCTTTCATTGAGACATTGGCATTGCCACCTCATGGAGGATAAATGTAGTTACCACAACTATTGGTGATTAGAAGCTTTCTTTTGGGTGACTTATCTTAACCTTATTTTAACCTTTTCATTTGAGGTTTACATGAGTGGCCATCACCCCCATCTTGTGGATGGAATTCATTCATTTAATTAGGAGTTCTGGGAAGAACTACTTTCTCAGGTAGACTAATTAGCAACTGTCTTATTATAAAGCATCAACCAAGGCATCCTATCACGCAGGTTATTATTTAAGAGGAACTACAGGAAAAACCAACTCAGAAAGGAGGATCTGCCTCAACCTTCAAGAATATTCCAACCACCCACCCACCTATTCTATGGGCACCAGTTTACCATGCCTTTTTTTTTTCGCGTTTTGGGAAGGTACGCCTGCTCAAGCGGGGATTTGCCATTCCTCGGCCTTCTTCAGGATTGAGAGTCCAGGCAGTTTCTCCTAATGAAAGATTCCCCCCCTCCCCCCGGGAAAAGGAGGGGATCAAATAAACTCTCTCCGCAAACAACTGAGGGTCACTCGGGCTTGAGCGTCGCAGGAGCGAGCGCAGCCCCATCGTCCCACAGAAAGCGCAGCCTGGATCTCAAGCCTGCTCTCCAAAAGAAGCATCGGTCAAATGCCCCGCCAAACTCTGGGGGAAAAAAGCCAGAAAGTCCCCACCACCACCACCACCACCACCCCACCCTCCGAGTTAGGCAAACAACCCCTCAAATTAAACAGGAAACTCGATGGCAAGGCAATTCCCGTGTTTCCCCACTCACCGGCTTCCATCGCTCCCCTGCTGCCACTGAAATCCCTTTCTGGCTCCTGCTGCCGTTGCCGCCGCCGCCGCCACTGGCAACTTCGCAAGAACCTAGCACAGCCGCTCTCCGAAGTTGACACATTTAAGTACGGCCTCTGACGTCCTTCTTCGCCTAATATACAACTCCGCCCCCTCTTCCCTACTCACCCCACCCCCCCACCCACCCACCGAAGTACACGCTGGGCGCTCCTTTGGATCGTGGTGGCTGGTTTTGCCGAGCGCTTTTGGCCATGTGCTACACCCAGCCGCTTCACCCACGGGCGGCCGGGAAGGAAGACCGTCTGGCAACAGATGGCTGAAGTATGCCGTCAGTCAGAGCTCCCTCCGGCAAAAACAAAAAGCGAAGGAACGAACGAAACTCGAGGCGCCTTCCCAAGCAAAATAAGTGAGGCTTGTTGTCCTGCCGCGGCTTTGGCTGGTCTTCAGGATCCCGTCTGCAACTTCGGCAACTATAGAATCCGCCTATAGAACCTCCTTGGTCGCCGGCTTGGATGTGCGCGCGTCGCCTCACGCAGATAACACAAACGTTTTAGACCAGTGTTTCTCAACTTTGGTAGCTTGAAGATGGGTGGACTTCAACTCCCAGAATCCCCCAGCCAGCAGCGCTTCCAAGGTTGAGAAACACTGTTTTAGACCGTTCCACCTTCGCGCGTGCAGATGCCGCCATTTTTCTTTATGAATAACTGAGCAACCCTAATTTGCAGCAGCGGGCCCAGGCCAATTGCTTTGAAATGAACTTGGATACCATGGGCTGGTTCAGACCTGCATTCACTGATGGGTGTAAAAACTGGATCAAAGAGGATATGTAGATTCCCTAACAGCCAAAACGTGTCACAGCTTTCAATTGTGAGCTTTCAGTGTGTTGTATATTACTAGAACAAACTTAAAATCAAGAATTTGGGCAATTCTTGGAGAGATAAGCTGTACTGTTTCTAGGATCAATCGCCTGGGAATACTAGTTGATGGATCACAAGCGAGAGAGTCTTTCTGCCTCCATGTCAGCCTTGTAGCGCTCTCAGAGATTGCCCACTATGGGGATCAAAGTCTTTTAGAGAGACCTTTGGCCTAATCCAGCCTAAATATTTTCCTTTCCTCGTGTTTTCAGGAGATACTCAAATTGCCCTTCTTACTGATATATCTCCCTGTCTGATGACAGCTTTCACAGCTGGAGAGGATCCCTGAAGGCTTGACACCAGTGAGATGGTAAATAAATGCAATGAAGAAAGACCCTGTAACATCCCAAGTTTTCTTTTAAAAAGGAACAAAACTTGGATTGTTTTCAAAGTCATTATTGTATCAGGGACAGAAGACAACAATGCTAAGCTGTTTATGGTCTTCAAAATATTACTTTATCCCAGACCGGATGGGATGGTCTGACAGCTGTTTATTACAAAAATTTGCAGTCAGAAATGGTGGAATGACTTAGGGAACTACATAGTAAAATACAATTCGGAGGCGAAGTACTCCCATCTTGGAGAACAGCCTTGATTTCTTTGATTTCTTTGATCCCGAAAGAGGATCAAGATCATAGTCAGCCAAAATATTATAGGCCTATATCATTACTTAACACAGATTACCAGATTTTTGCTAAAATATTAGCAAATAGGTTAATGTCAGTCATGCAACAAATGATTCACAATGATCAATCAGGATTGATAAATGGGAGACAAATGAAAAGCAACATAAGGCAAATTGTTAATATATTAGAGTATTTGGGGAAGAATAACCAAGTCCCTGCAGTGCTTATATTTTTGGATGCGGAGAAAGCATTTGATCGATTGAATTGGCATTTTTTATTGAAAATAATACAAAAGATGCAGTTTGGAGAGTATTTTACACAATCTGTTAAGGCAATATACCAGAAACAAACAGCACAAATAATAATTAATGGTAGCTTAACAGAAACCTTTAACATTGAAAAGGGAATAAGACAAGGGTGTCCCCTGTCTCCATTATTATTTATTTTGACTTTGGAACTTTTGTTGATTAATGGGATGGGGAAACATTTGTAAAAATTTTTAAAACTTTTATATATATATATAAAATATATATATTTTATATATATATATTACTTTATCCCAGACCGGATGCAACTCTTAAGACGGAAGGCAAAATGAATATTTGCATTTGTTGCCAAAGCTGAATTTCTTTATGTAATGCTGTCCCTGGAGTTTTTTCCTTATACCCACAGAAGACACACCCTGCAGAATCACCCACTGAGCACTTATCCTCAGGTGCTGTAATGGCACAGTGCCCACCCACTCAACTTAGAAGAATCAAGCACTTCACCATTGCAGCTGAACAGCTGTGAGAGACTTGGGTCTGGCAAATCCTTTCACACCTTCTCACATTCACACCTTAGAACTGTAGCGATGTAGTGTCATTTCATTCAAATCAGCAAATGGGAGAAACAGTTAAAACAAATGGCTGCAAGCTGTTGTTTACACTTGAACATTAAGAAAGGAGAATGGCTATTTAGAGCAAGGATGTGAGATGTTACGGCATAGTGCAAAACACATAACTGATTTACAGGATCTTCCTGAGCTATGGCTAAATTTCAATAGAATTCTGCAAAATGACAAATTACAAAGCTCTGGTGGCAGAAACACAAACTTCAGGTCAGGGGTCGGTTGGTGAGGCTATTCTGTTCAATAACCGGGCTAAATCTGAGAAAGAAAGTGATGCACTCAGTACACTGGGCTCTGTTGAAAGGGGGAGGCATATACAAATTGGTAATATTGATAATGATGATATTTCCTAGTGAACATCCTGTATCATCATAGAGTTATATTTCAAATGAATAAGTGCTGATGTTTTTCCGCAGGTATAGAACCTAATAAAGTTTTTGAATAGTCCCAATGTTTTTAGTCTTTCCTCCCGAATAGTTGAACTGTTCTGCCAGTTTCGTTTTACCTTGAGGCTAACTTGTAATTATCCAGATAGTAAAGTATGAATAGAATATGCAGGTAGAATGGACTTGATTGCTGATGATCATTCTAGCAGGATTTTGCTGCCTTCCTAGATTCCTGGATTGCATTTCTCATAAACTTGAAAACCCTTCTGTGTAATATGGACAGAATTTGAGGAATAGTCAAGCTCTCACTACGACACAATATATAGATAAGGGTCTAGGTTCTGTATGGTGATCATGAGCTATGCAAGATTAGCATACAGCTAATGTGCAATTGTTTTGTCCTTTATATTAAAATGAAACTTGCTTTATTATATACCAGGGGCTCAAGTCGTTTTTCAAAACTCAATGAGACTAATTACAACCAAACTTATGAAATCATAACACTAGTGACAGAAACATAAAATCTCTTCCTATTGACATCCAGGGGATTAAAAGTTTCCTTTTCTGAAGTTGTCTTGTTTTACATTTATCAGTACCATATGGGTTTTTAAAATCTATCAATATTATTGGGGTTTATGTGTATTTATGTGTACATATGTAAACATTATAATTTGTATTTTATTTAAATTTAGTGGTCACTCAATTAAAGTGGATATCTCCCAAAGCCCAGGTATCATCCAACATCAACATTTTGAAACTTTGTAACAGGATTCTGTTGAGAGCTAGTTTGGTATAGTGGTTAAGGCATCAGGCTAGAAAACTGGAAATCATGAGTTCGAGTCCCACCTTAGGCACAAAACCAGCTGGGTGACCTTGGGCTAGCCAGTCTCTCAACCATAGAAAGGCAATGGCAAACCATTTCTGAAAATCCTTGCTTGGAAAACTACAGGAACTTGTCCAGACACTCACTGAGAATTGTACACAGTTGAACAGAAGGAAAAAAAACATAGTTAGTAGAGGGCGACAGACCTACTGCAGTATAATGGGATAACTATTTATTTATTTATTTATTATTCAAATTTCTATACCGCCCTTCTCCTTTCGGACTCAGGGCGGTGAACAGCCAAAATAAAACATTTATACATAAAGTGCGATTAAAAATAGATTTAAAATAATTAAATTTGGCCCATAGATTAAAATTTATCAATTTAAAATCCATATCAAAATTTAAAATCAACCATAAAATCATAAAATCAAGAGAGACCGGCTAACTGAAAGAGATGAGTTTTTAGGGCCCGACGAAAAGTCCGTAGGTCGGAGATCACTCGTATCTCTGGGGGTAGATTGTTCCAAAGGGTAGGTGCCACCACAGAGAAGGCTCTCCTCCTGGGGGTCGCCAGCCGGCATTGTCTAGCCGACGACACCCTGAGGAGGCCCTCTCTGTGGGAGCGAACTGGCCGGTGGGAGGCTATTGGTGGCAGAAGGCGGTCCCGTAAGTACCCTAATCCTAAGCCATGGAGCGCTTTAAAGGTGATCACCAACACCTTGAAGCGCACCCGGAAGTCCACCGGAAGCCAATGCAGCTTGCGCAGGAGGGGAGTCACATGGGAGCGCCCTGTCGCTCCCATAATCCCCCGTGCAGCCGCATTCTGCACCAGCTGGAGCCTCCGGGTGTACCCCAAGGGGAGCCCCATGTAGAGAGCGTTACAATAGTCCAGACGAGAGGTGACGAGTGCTTGAGTGACTGTGCGTAGGGAGTCCCGATCCAGAAAGGGGCGCAACTGGCGTATCAGGCGAACCTGATAAAAAGCCCCCCTGGCCACGGCCATCATATGCCCTTCTAAAGACAGCCGTGCATCCAGGAGGATGCCCAAGTTGCGGGCCCTCTCTGTGGGGGCCAGTGATTCGCCCCCAATAACCAGCGATGGCGTCAGCTGGCTATACCGGGATAACTATGAAGTAATATTAATGATGAAAGGTAACTTTGGCGGTGAAAAGCATTCAAGACTTTTGTTATCTTAATGCCTAACATAGCAATTGCTGTATTAAACATCTCCGTACGTATGGCACTGTATAGTAATCCTTTATGAATGATTATCCAAATCAGGTACATTTTTCTGTCTTGTTAAATTAGTTAATCTCCATAATGCCAGATGTCTTCCGTGTTTATGAATATCAGCAGTTATGTTGATGTGGTCCGGGTTGCCTCAGTTTCAACTGAATTAAGTATTCAAAATTTTCAAGCAAAACGGAAAAAGTCTGCCTATCTGAGGTTGTGGTACTTGACTGATTTTAT